ATTGTGCCTTTAATCAAAACAACCCAACTGCAGTTTGATTGATATTACTTGGAATGCGCAATAAAAAAAACGCGATTTCTTAAAAATAAAAATTTAAATGGGAGTTATCGGTTTTTGCAAATGAACTCTTCATATATAAATACATACATTTATGCAAATACATAAATTTTTCATATACAAATATATACATTTATCAATTTGGTCAATTCAACATGTTCCTTTGGTTCAAAATAAATCCCAGAGTAGCCAAAAGCTAACGATCAGATAACTAAAGATGAGAATGGAGGAATTCTGGCAAATTTAATTTCAGCAGTCCTAAAAATGAGGGAAAAGTCATTAAGGACACACAATTAATAAGTTTAAAGATCTATCCTTTAAAAGCTAAAAATGCAATCATCCATGGGGACAGAAATTTCCCCTAATTGAGGAATCACCCATATGTACTATGAAATGACAATCAAAGTGATTAATTATGGTGCACAATGTATAGACATATAATTTATCACTCTTCTCCCACCCGCCGCCCACGGTCCATCCCTCTGAAAGTGATCAGCAGGAGTCACAATATTGATGGCCAGAACGAGGCGCCGAGAGATTTGAAGCATGGGGCTTGTCTAAATCCCTCAACCTGGCTTAGTTTGTGATGATATGTTGTGTATATGTATATATATATATATATATATATATATATATATATATGAAATGCATAACACATAGTTCAATGACAAAATGCAGTACATATTTAAATACTAAATTTGAAACTAAAATCTCTGACAGTCAATGTGCACATATAATATAGCAAATATTTCGGCATGAATCTGTAAGTGCATTATTCCTCTTAATAAACACTCCCTGGTGATGAATACTCCCTGGTGATGAAGTGATATTGGCATTAACACTCGTAGTGGAAGAAATGTCATGGTCATCAGACTGTCATGGCTGGAGAAATGAGAGAAAGTAGCGAGGGATTGGATTAGTCAGAGGAGAGAAGAGTGTGTAGGTGGGAGTTGAAAAGGCTGAGGTGGTGTCCAGGGAGTGAATGGCACTGCAGTAACTATCAATCAACATATGACTGCAGCCTGCAGTCTGTACACACATCAAGCACTTTACCACTGACGCCTGAGCAACAACATTACACGACCTGAGATCTGCTCAGAGGCTCCAGTCCTAAAAGCTCAAATGTAGTGCATCTGTATTTTTGTCATGTTATCTATCTATCTATCTATCTATCTATCTATCTATCCATCCATCCATCTAGTTACATAACTTTGTACACTATATGTGACCCTGGACCACAAAACCCAGTCAAAACGGTACATTTTTTTGAAATTGAGATGTATACATCACCTGAAAGCTGGATAAATAAGCTTTCCATTGATGTATGGTTTGTTAGGATAGGACAATATTTGGCAGAGATACAACTATTTGAATATCTGGAATCTGAGGGTGCAAAAAAATCTAAATATTGAGAAAATTGCCTTTAAAGTTGTCCAAATGAAGTTCTTAGCAATGCATATTACTAATCAAAAATTAAGTTTTGATATATTTATGGTAAGAAATTGACCAAATATCTTCATGGAACATGATCTTTACTTAATGATTTTTGGCATAAAAGAAAAATCGATCATTTTGACCCATACAATGTATTTTTGGCTATTGCTACAAATATACCCCAGCAACTTAAGACTGGTTTTGTGCTCCAGGGTCACATATATGATGCAAGCAGTGCTCATTAACACTGAAACCTCAAAATGATATGCATTTAAACACCTTCTCTTTTGTATTTTCTTGTGTTTTTGTCCTGCAGAGACCAAGCAGGAGTTGGAGGACCTCACAGCTGACATTAAGAAGACAGCCAATAAAGTGCGCTCTAAATTAAAAGGTATAAAACCAGAAATGTTAGCTTTATTAGAACATTTAAAGTCTTATATAATTGTTTTGAACAAAAGTAGTCAAAGTAGTGGATGTTTATGTTAATTTTGGCAGTCAGACATTACATTTTCTAATACATTAAGGACTAATTGCCTACTCTATATATATATATAAACAATGAAATAGATCTGAGATCAGTTTGAGACGGTGAATATTCTTAAGGTGTTCTTCGACTCTTTGAATTTATAGCAAGAGACAATGAGAAAAGTTCAGGTCTATTTGGAAGTATGCATTAAGTTTAGTCTTCTAAAGCTCCTAAAACCTTCATCATCACGTAGGCAAGGCTAATTTAGACACGATCTTTGATTCTGAAGGCAGCCACCTGAGGCCAAGGGCGTTAAATTCTTAACAAGTAGCGGTTTTGACTAATCTCTTTTGAAGTGCTTTCCTTCTGAAGTCGCTCAGGAAAAGACAAAAAGTTGCACTCCACCCTAAGCACAAGATAACATTTTTCAGTAACTAATACAATGACAATATGAGTGTCCTTGTTTTTATTACACCAATATCTAATAACTTGAGAGAGCTATCAGTCAGCATTCTCATTGATCTCACTGGCAGTTGATCAATCAGAAGTATGACTTATACTCTGTTAGCTTTGCTTTCAGAAACAAATTTTTTTTAGAGCCAGTCACCTGAGCTGTAAATGACATGTGACTAATCTCCTCAGACATTTTTTTTATTATGACAACACTGATTGGCTGATAGCAACACAAACCCTTTATTATTGACTATTCTATATATGTATTTTTTATAATAAATATTAATATTTTTTATTAATA